CAAAGAAAATTTTGTAATGATTTGAAACGAATCTCTGAAACATTCATAAGTGTAGAGAGTTCTGTGGCATTAACTATGTTCACATAGCTGTGCAGCCATCACCACCATTGTCTTCAGACTCTTTATCTTCCCCAGCCAAAACTCTGTACCCATTAAATGCTAACTTCCAGCCCGCCTTCCCCCCACCCCTGGCATCCACTGTTCTACTTTCTGGCTCTATGAATTTGACTCCTCAAGGAACCTTATGTAAGTTGGAATCATGTAATATTTATTCTTTTATGACTGGCTTATTTTACTTAGCATAATATCTTGTTTTAGCATTTGTCAAAATTTCTTTCCCTTTTAAGACTGAATAATATTCCATTATATGTGTATACCACATTTTCTTTATCCATTTATCCATTGATGGACATTTGGATTGCATCCACCACTTGGCTGTTATTCACATAATGGTGTAGTGAACACAGGTGTACAAATCTCTCTTTGAGTTCCTGCTTCCGCTCTTTGGGACACATACCAACAAGTGGAATTGCTGGATCATATGATAATTATGTGTTTAATTTTTTAAGGAATTGCAATACTGTTTTCCACAGCAGCTACACTTTTTACATTCACAGCAGTATACAAAGTTTCCAAATTCTTCACATCCTCATTAACACTTTTTTCTATTGTTTTTATAATAGCCATACTAATGGATGTGAAGTTAAAGTGGCAAACTTGTGTTTATATGTATTTATAACTCCCAAAAACAAATTTAAGTATCAATATTTGTTGCAGTCTTGCCAGTAAAATTAAATGAGGAATCACTGTAGTCCTTAAGAATACATTTTCACGATGGGTTAGCCTGGTAATGGGTATTAAAGAGGGCACATTCTGCGTGGAGCACTGGGTGTTATGCACAAACAATGAATCATGGAACACTGCATCAAAAACTAATGATGTAATGTATGGTGGTTAACATAACAATAAAAAAATTATTTAAAAAAAAAATTGTCTCTTGGTTTGCTTCAGCACCAAATACTGATTTCTACATTAAAACTTTGGAAAAGATTGAAAGATGTTAATTATTAACAGGCTACTAGAATCATTTATTCACCTAGCAACTATTTATTTTGTGTATATATTATGTGCCTGAGTCTGCTTTGACTCTACCTCCTAAATTTATTTAGTTCTTACGAGTTTATGACTAATTTCTTTTTTTTTAAGATTTTATTCATTTGAGAGAAAGAGAGTGAGAGAGAGCATGAGAGGGAGAGGGTCAGAGGGGGAAGCAGACTCCCTGCTGAGCAGGGAGCCCAATGCGGGGCTCGATCCCGGGATTCTGGGATCACGACCTGAGCCGAAGGCAGTCGCTTAACCAACTGAGCCACCCAGGCGCCCAGTTTATGACTGATTTCTAACACATCACTGGGATTGCCTTTTTGTACATGTTGCATACAGATCCTCACAGACACAGCATAGAATATGGCAGGAAACTATTTTATGAAACACATTGTTAAAAAACATACTTCCTGAGGGTTGGGCATAGAAACCAATCTTCATATAAAAGTGAAACTTACTTGATGGCATTAAAAATGAAAGTTTCTTTTTATTGTTAATGTTCTATATTTGTATCTTCTGTTCAGGAAATCAAAGCAATGAAGAAAAGAATGAGTGAGCTATGTATTGACTTCAACAAAAACCTCAATGAGGACGATACCTTCCTTGTATTTTCCAAGGCTGAACTTGGTAAAATTCTGTTTTTTTTCTGGTTAAATGATATAATTTAGGGAAATAATGTTACCTCACAGTTTGCCAAATCAAAGTTGAAAGACTTCTTTAAAAAATGATCCAGTACCTTGTACAGAACCTATCACCCCTTCTACAGAAAAGACAACCAAACCATGCCTAGATTTTATGCTAATAAAAGTGTGTGTACTATTTCTAGAGATGCTCCAGAGGAAATTTCATAATATTTTTTGGTAACTTATGCTGGTGTTTAACAGCCTTCAGTGCCTTGAAATTTTTTACCTTATAATATCCCCTACATTATAACTTAAACTAGTCTCTTCTTAATATGTTCTGGATCTTTCTTGGCTTAGTTTTGCCTGTTCTCCATCAAAACACCATCTGCACAAGTACACTGAAGCCTATTCATAATTTGAATTACCATCTCCTAAGCCACCTGTCCTCTAATCACCACCCCCATTCCAGTAACGTCAAAATGATATTATAAGGATTGTCATTATTTTACTTGAATTTCAATTACTCCACAGAATTCCTAGAGCTTCTTAAAGGCACCATGCCAATGCTAAATAAACTAATAATGAGTGGAAAAATTGATGTATAAGAAAATGATTTCTTGCAGGTGCTCTTCCTGATGATTTCATTGACAGTTTAGAAAAGACAGATGATGACAAGTATAAAATTACCTTAAAATATCCACACTACTTTCCTGTCATGAAGAAATGTTGTATCCCTGAAACTAGAAGGAAGATGGAAATGGCATTTAATACAAGGTGCAAAGAGGTACTCTGAATGTTTGTCTTTCTTTCGTTTTTGTGGAAGATTTTAAGAAAAGGGTTTGCTTTGTTCACCAGTGTTGAAGTTAGCTCAGAGACCAACATGCCTGTTGGAGTATTATGCCTCCTAATTCCTGAAGGCTTTTAACTTTTCCCTTGCTCACTGGTAGCCTTGGTATGGCCACAGCCTAAGCTGTTCTAATTAAAATAGAATGGGTTAAATAAACTAAAAGTTGTATTCTTTCACCAAGTCAACAGTCCAGGGCTAGTGGAGCACCTCTCTGTCCTTAACAAGTGACTTCCAAGGCCATTCCAGCTGTCACCATTTCCCGGCCTATTCAGAAGTGGGAAAATAAAGGACAGAGACACACCTTAAGAAGACCTGGAAATGACATACATCCACTCCATTCACCTCCTATTGACTCAAATTCCATCATCTAGTTGTACCCAGCTGCAGGGGAACCTGGGAAATGTAGTCTTCAGTTGACAGCCATTTGCTCAGGTGAGGGGATTCTATTACCAAAGGGTAAAAAGGAAGAATTAGAAATGCATTCTCAGAGTCAGCTAGACAGCTCCACCACAGTCTCCCTCTCCAGATAACTAACTCTGAGTGCCTTTTTTCCCCACACATAGAACCCATTCACCATATGCCAGACCATGACCAGTTACTGCCTTGAGCTCAAAGACCATGACATCTGGGCTCTCCCCACTTGGAGCTTCCTCATGATCTAGCAGTCTATGAAAGAGAGGGCATGCTGTCTGGTCCATTCATCCCCAGGACACACGCCCAGTGGTAGAATAAGAACATAGTAACCACACTAAAAACTCCTATATGGAAAAGGAAAGAATAGAAAACATACAGCAGGCCCATACCAATTTTCAAAAACTGTTTGGCAGGAATTGTGGGGATTCCTTGCTCTGATGAAGTTCCTTGAAGAGCTCATTAAAGTGATTTGGGGGTTTTTTTCTAGCAGAAATTTGTTTAGCAATTGTACTACATGATCCCTGGTTTTGCCTGCCAAGAATTTTTTCTTGTCTGTTACCCTCCACGACCATATCCTGGGCGGCTACTAGTAAAGATTCATGCTGATGCTGGTTTGAAGCCTGAGGGTTGCTTTAGGGATCAAATAAACACAAGCTTTTGCAGGCCAAGCTCATGATGCCTTTGGTAATATAATACCCTCAAAAACTTAGTAGGTTTCTTGTCTGTTTGCATCCAGTCAGATTCATGTTAAAATAATTCAACCCAAATAATATTTTTGGTCAGTTGTTCTTAAACCTACCAGATCTTTTTATATTGGTTCCTGTATCCTGTCCCTCTTGCTTTTCCTCAATTTAATGGAATCTGCTTTGGGACCTTCTGAAACAGTAGGCTTGAGGAGGGAAGGCAGCATTCTCAAACTAATCTCTACAATTCAGTAAATCTGAGTGACAGTCTTTTCTCTGGTATTAGGAGGACAGAGCAGTTGTCTCTGCCATCCATTTGAAGTCCTAGATTAGTAAGCCACAGACAGAACCTCTGTTAGTAGAAGTCTTTTCCTTCCATCTCTGCAAACTGAACATTCTCAACTGAGTTCATCTCTCTCGTAATCTTTCTAAAAGTCACAAATAGCAACAAACATGCACCAACATTAGTTTTCCCCAGAAGTTCCCCTAGAGCTAAGCCTCAGTAGGTAATTGTTCTGCCTTCCAAGTTATGACATGAAATCGTTTTAACGAATGTTACCCATGGTATAATGAGGATTGCTAGCTTCCCAGCCAGCATTGTATCTGTCCCCACCTTCTCCTCCTGTACAACTTTCATTTTTCTTATAGCAGTACCCTATTCCTAATATCAGCCTCTGTGGGTGTAAGGATACAGGTTAAGCAGCTACACAAAAGCCAACAAAAAGCACAGTGACTCAAATAAGATAAAAGCTGTTTCTCTTCAGAAAGGATTAGTGATTGGCAGAAGCTGGGGCCACTGGGGAATTACTGTTTAATGGTTACCAAGTTTCCGTTTGGGGTGTTGGAAAAGTTTTGGAAACAGATAGTGGTAGTGGTTGCACAACAGTGTGAACTGAACGCAATTAGTGCCACTGAATTATACACTTAAAAATGGCTAAAATGGGAGTTCCAGCAGATGTGGGAAGGAGAGTGGACCCCAGAGAGCTCTGAGCAGCCCCACCCCCATGGCCTAGTTACCATCACACCCAGCAGGAGGTGCAGCTGCCACAGCTGGCCCAGTCCCCATCACTGTCACTACCAGCAGCAAGTGGGGGGAGGTGACCCAGCCCCCGCCCACCCTCTGCTCTTTGAACACCAGGCTCAGCATCCGGGGCAGTAGCCTCCGTGGCACCCACTGGCAACAGCAAAGTCATTACAACAAAGGTTCTGGAAACAGTAAAGTGGTTCCATCGACAGGAATGAGACCGAGGAAGATGTGTTTATATACCAGACTGCCATAAAGAATAACCGCGGGAAATACCTGCGCAGTGTAAGAGCGAGGCTGGAGTTTGATGTTGGAGGAGGAAAGGGTACGGAGGCAGCAAACATGGCCGGCCCTGGTGGAGCCCCAGTGCAAGGCGGTAAATACGCAGCTAATGATCACCGTTAAAGATGTTCTCCATCACGGGGATCCTCCCCACAGTTACCCGCAGAAGTACCAGAATTGTGAGGGTGGGGAAAGAAGGAGGGCCCTATCGTGCCGACCTGCCCGCAGGCCACAGTTTGCACCTGACTGCCCCTGGCAGTGGGCGGCAACCACTCTTCCAATCTCCCCCCCCCCCACACCCCCTGTGCAGGGAGAAGTGCTGGAGGGCGCCGGCAAGCAGGGTGCAGGAGAGCAAGGCAGACCAGTGAGACAGTGTATA